CATCTAGCATGCACAAGGTCCCGGGTTCGATTCCTCAGCACCACATACACAGAAGAAGCCAGAAATGGCGCTGTGGCTCAAATGGTAGAGGGCCAGCCTTGAGCAAAAGCAACTCGGGGACAGTGCCCAAGCCCTGAGTTCAAGCCCCACCACTGGGGAAAAAACAAAACAAAAACACTGCTACTGGGATGGAGATTCCACATCGCAGGTCTGTGTGTGTCTGTCTGTCCATCCCTTTCTCCCTGTCTTTTGCACCTCGTGACTTGAACCCTGGCCCTCTTGCTGTAGTCCCGTGTCCATTGCTGGGCCCGCCCCGGCCGCAGCCTCCTGCCCGGGCCTCACACCGGAGAGCTCCAGTGCCCGCTGTGCTGACCTGAGCCATGCTTACCACCCACAGGCTTGGAGAAGAATCTTCTAGAAGAATCCCTGTATGAAGAGGTGGCAGATGACGCCCCTGCCTTGGGAGCCGGGCACCCCGGGACACAGGCGGGAGAGGCCCGACCCGCCTCCCTTCCCCCGCACCGAGCTGGGGGCCTGCGCAAGCTGCTGGCCTGGTCCACCCCGGGGCCCAACGCCACGCGGCCCTTCCCCACCAGGACCCGGGCCCCCCCGACCTCCCCGCCAGGCAGGACCTCCGCTGAGCAGGCGCAGTGGCTAAGCCAAGTGGAGTCCTTCATTGCCCGGCAGAGGAGGGGTGACCAGAGGGGGCTCCCCAAAAGCCACGAGGCTGAGGAGGCGGCAGTGGTGGAGGAGGAGGAGGAGGAGGAGGACGGAGAAGAGGAGGAGGAGGAGGACGGGGACGGGGGCGGCGGCCCGGAGTACTCACCCGCCCTGGACCCCGTGGTGAATTGGGAGCGCACTTTCAGCGCCCGCAGCCCTGACTTCCAGGCGCTGCGCACGGACTGGATCGACCTGAGCTGCAACACCTCCGGCAACCTGCAGCTGGCCGAGCCCGAGGCCCTGGGCGTGGCCAGGGTCTTCCTGCGGAAACTCAGCCACAGGAGCCGAGGGTAAGAGAAAGGGCACCCCAGGGCAGACGCCCTGCTCCACCACCCAGCAGCCCCATGGGCCCCCACCCCCAGGAAGGGCACGCAGGAAACACAGCCGCAAGGACAGTCAGACCTCAGATAACATGGGTTAGAAGGGTGTGAGGCGCGTTGTTCACGTAGTACTACTCATGCATCCACCCACCCACCCATCCATCCACTCCATCCACCCATCATCCATCTGTCCACCGATCCATCCATGCACACACTTGTCTGATCATCCATCCACCCATCCATCCATCCATCCACCCATCATCCATCCGTCCACCCATCCATCCATGCACACACTTGTCTGATCATCCATCCACCCATCCATCTATCCATCCACCCATCCACCCATGCATCTAGTCCATCCATCATCCATCCACCACACCCACCCACCCATCTACCATCCATTTATCATCCATCCACCCATCCACAAGTCAGCCAGCCAGCCATTACACCCACCCATTCACTCATCCATCCATCCACCCATGCACCTGTCCGTCCATCCATCTACCCACCCACCCATCCATGCACACACCTGCCTGTCCATCATCCACCCATTCATGCACCCATCCATCTACCCACCCACCCATCCATTCATCCATCCATGCATGCACCTGTCCGTCCATCCATCCACCCATCCATCATCTATCCACCCATGCACCTGTCAGTCCTTCCATCCATCCATCCACCCACCCACTCACTTACTCATCCATCCATCCACCCATCCACTCATCCATCCATCACATCCACCCATTCACTCATCCATCCATGCACTCATCTGTCCGTCGATCCATCCACCCATTCATGCACTCATCCATCTGTCCGTCCATCCACCCATGCACCTGTCCACCCAGTATCCATCTATCCATCTATCACACCCACCCACCCATCTATCCATCCACCCACCCACCCACCCATCTATCCATCCACCCACCCACCCACCCATCTATCCATCCACCCACCCATCCACTCATCCATCCATCCATCCACCCATGAATCTATCCTTCCATCATCCATCCACCCATGCACCTGTCCATCCATCATCCATCTACCCACCCACCCACTCATCCGTCCATGCAAGTACCTGTCCGTCCGTCCGTCCATCCACTCATTCATGCACCCATCCATCCATCCCACCCACCCATCCATCATCCATCCACCCATGCACCTGTCCATCATCCATCCATCCACCCATCCACAGTCAGCCATCCATTCACCACACCCACCCACCCATCCATCATCCATCTACCATCCACTCATCCACTCATCCATCCATCCACCACACCCATCCATCCACCCATCCAGTCAGCCATCCATCCACCACACCCACCCATCTACTCATCCATCCGTCACACCCACCCATCCACAACCAGCCAGTCATCCATCACACCCACCCACCCACCCATCATCCATCCATCCATCCATCATCCATCCACCCATTGATACACCCATCCACCTGTATCCATCTACCACCCATCCACCCGTCAACAGCTATCCATCCACTCCATCCACCCCACCCACCCATCCACCCATCCATCCGTCCACCCCACCCACCCATCCACCCATCCATCCGTCCACCCCACCCACCCATCCACCCATCCATCCGTCCGTCCACCCCACCCACCCATCCACCCATCCATCCGTCCACCCCACCCACCCATCCACCCATCCATCCGTCCACCCCACCCACCCACTCATCCATCCGTCCACCCCACCCATCCACTCATCCATCCGTCACCCCACCCCACCCATCCACTCATCCATCCGTCCACCCCACCCACCCATCCACTCATCCATCCGTCCACCCCACCCACCCATCCACTCATCCATCCATCCATGCATCTGTCCGTCCATCATCCATCCACCCACTCATCCATCCATGCAAGCACCTGTCTGTCCATTCATGCACCCATCCATCCACCCACCCACCCATGCATGCACCTGTCCGTCCATCCATCCACCCATCCAGTCAGCCATCCATCCACCACACCCACCCATCCACTCATCCAGAGTCAGCCAGCCATCCATCCATGTACCCATCCATCACACCCACCCATTCACCCATTCCTGCACCCATCCATCCGCCCACCCACTCATCCACACATGCACCGTCCATCCATCCACCCATCCAGTCAGCCATCCATCCACCCACCCACCCAGTCAGCCATCCATCCATCACACCCACCCATCCATCCATTTATCATCCATCCATCCAATGCACCTGTCTGTCCATCCACCCACCCCACCTACCCACCCACCCACCCACCCAGCCAGCCAGCCAGCCATCCACCACCCCTACCCATCCACTCATCCATCCACCTATCCACCCACCCATCATCCATCCATCCATCCATCCACTCATCCACCCATTCATGCACCCTTACATCCAGCCATCCATCCATCCACCGTTCCATCCACCATCCATCCACCCATTCATGCACCCATTCATGCACCCATCCACTCATCCATCACACCCACCCATCCATCATCCATCCACCCATTCATACACCCATCAGTCCATCATTCATCCATCCACCTACATCTCTCCATCCAGCAACAGGTTTAAGATAAAATTCAAGTACCGTTACACATTTTAGAGTGCAATTGAATGGGCGTAACGGCATATTCCCATTAGCGGGGCGTGTTGTCATCCGCCTGCACTCCTGGCACCCCGGAGATGAGGTATAATCATTCTCCAGCCTAGGCCAGCATTTCCTCCAGCCCTGAGCGGTGAGCCGCACCTCCGAGGCTCATCTGGAGCCCGCTGCCTGACGGGCTGGGGCTGTGTGAACACAGCTTGATTTGTCTTTGCCGCGACCCTCTCCCTCAGCTGGACACTTAGGATGAAATTGTGGGTGCAGGTTAAAGATGGAGGCCGTGCCCTGCCTGGGGTGTCCCTCAGGCCCCGCTCCTCCGCCCCAGGCGCTACCAGCTGCAGCGGGTCGGTGAACGTGGAGAAGCGCCAGGACCAGCTGCGCGGGGGCCGCTACCTCCTGGAGCTGGAGCTGCGGGAGCCGAGCGGGCGCCTGGTGCGGCTGTCGGAGTATGTGTCCACCCGCGGCTGGCAGGGCGGCCGGCCGGCTGGTGGGGAGATGGTGGAGGCCCGGAACCTGCAGGGCCTGGTCTGGAACCCACAGGGCCAGCAGGGGCCTGTCCTCAACGCCCGGGACCCGGAGCCCAAGCTGTGCTGGCCCCAGGGCTTCTCCTGGAACCACCGCGCTGTGGTCCACTTCATCGTGCCCGGTGAGTCCCGATGGGGGAGAGGCCAGGGCCAGATCCCAGCAGGCTGTCCCCTAAGCAGAGGCCTGATGGCCGCTTGCTCCCCTGGTTTAGTGAAGAATCAGGCGCGCTGGGTGCTGCAGTTCATCCGAGACATGGAGAGCCTGTCCCGGCTCACCCGCGACCCCGACTTCAACATCATCATCACCGACTACAGCAGTGAGGACATGGACGTGGAGCGGGCGCTGACCGCCTCCAGCCTGCGGAGGTGAGCCCCGGCCCGGCCCCAGCAGAAGCCCGCCCTGTTTTGTGTTGGGCTCAGACTTGAGCTCTACCACTTGAGCCACAGCGCCACTTCTGGTTTTCTGGTGATTCATTGGAGATAAGTCTCACGGACTTTCCTGCTCGGGCTGGCTTTGAACTGCGATCCTCAGATCTCAGCCTCCTGAGGAGCTGAGATGACAGGCGGGAGCCACGGGCACCTGGCCCACCGCCACCTCCTCCAGAGCTTCTCTCTCCCTGCAGCTACCAGTACCTGAAGCTAAGTGGGAACTTCGAGCGCTCGGCGGGCCTGCAGGCCGGCATAGATCTGGTGAAGGTAACAGCCAGGAGGGGCAGAGGCTGGGGAAGAGGGAGAGGGGGCCTCCACACAGCCAGGCCATAGAGCCCTGACTCCCTCCCTCCCACTGACCTCTATCTCTCCCCACATCCTCTCTCCCTCCCACTGACCTCCCTCTCTCTGACCTCTCTTCCTCCCCCCCCCCACTTCCTCACCCTGCCCTGCCTGCTCGGCCCCCAGGACCCCCACAGCATCGTCTTTCTCTGTGACCTCCACATCCACTTCCCGGCCGGGATCATCGACACCATCCGGAAGCACTGTGTGGAGGGCAAGATGGCGTTCGCGCCCGCACTGCTGCGGCTGAGCTGCGGGGCCTCGCCCCGGGAGGCCGAGGGTGAGTCCTCCCACATCTTCCTTCCCTCCCCTCCCCCATCACAGCCTCCCCCTCCCCCTCCATCCCACCTCCTCCAGGCTGTTGCTTAGTTTTCCTCCTCCTCCCCCCCTCCACCTTTTTCACTATCCTCCCATTTGTTCCTCCTCCCCCTCCCCTTTCCCCTCCCTCTGTGCATGCATGTGCACACACACACACACACACACACACACACACACGTGTGTCCTGTGCCTCAGGCTACTGGGAGGTGAATGGCTTCGGGCTGCTGGGCATCTACAAATCAGACCTGGACCGGATCGGGGGCATGAATACCGAGGAGTTCCGGGACCGCTGGGGCGGCGAGGACTGGGAGCTGCTGGACAGGTGGAGGGAGGGGGGGGAGGGAGGAGGGAGGGGGGGGAGGACTGGGAGCTGCTGGACAGGTGGAGGGAGGGAGGGAGGGAAGGGGGAGGGGGGGAGGGAGGAGGGGCGAGGACTGGGAGCTCCTGGATAGGGGGAGGGGGGAGGGGGGGAGGAGGGAGGAGGGAGGAGGGGGAGGACTGAGAGCTGCTGGACAGGTGGAGGGAGGGAGGGAGGAGGGAGGGAGGAGGGAGGGAGGGGGGAGGGAGGGGGGAGGGAGGGGGGAGGAGGACTGGGAGCTGCTGGACAGGTGGAGGGAGGGGGGAGGACTGGGAGCTGCTGGACAGGTGGAGGGAGGGCAGGGGGAGGGAGGAGGGGAGGAGGACTGGGAGCTGCTGGACAGGTGGAGGGAGGGGGGAGGACTGGGAGCTGCTGGGCAGGTGGAGGGAGAGTAGGGAGGACGGGAGGGAGGACTAGGAGCTGCTGGACAGTGTAGGGAGGACAGAGAGCTACTGGAGGGAGGGAGGGGACAGGAGGACGGTGAGCTGCTGGGCAGTGGAGGGTGGGAGGGAGAGGACAGGAGGGTGGGGAGGACGGGGAGCTGCTGGGCAGTGGGGGAAGGACGGGAGCTACTGGACAGGAGGAAGGCGGTGCAGCCCTTGGGCTCAGCCTGCCCCAAACCCCCGTCCCCCCCCTCCTGCCCGCAGGGTCCTGCAGGCCGGCCTGGAGGTGGAGCGGCTCTTCGTCAGGAACCTCTTCCACCACTTCCACTCCAAGCGCGGCATGTGGGACCGGCGCCCCGCGCACGCGCCCTGAGCGACCGCGGAGACCGCGGGGAGCGGCGCGGCCAGGACAAGCCCCGGGCTGGGGCGGAGGGGCCGGCGGGCGCCAAGGCCACGACCACGACCACGCCTGGACCACGCCAGGGCCAGGACCACACCAGGACCAGGACCACGCCAGGACCAGGACCAGGACCACGCCAGGCTCCGGCTGCAGCTACCGACCGCAGGGAAGGGGAGGCCGGGCTGCACACGCCCTGCGGGGCGGGGCCTCGCGGGGGCGGGGCCTGGCTCCGGAGAGGACGGGGCCGTTGTTGGGCGTGGCCTAGGGTGACTGGGGGCGTGGCCCGCGGTGGGCGTGGCCCGCGTGCCGAGCGCCTGCCCTGCACCCCCGCCGCAGGAAGAAGCGGAGCCGGGAGCCCCGCCGGCCGTCCCGTGACTCCGCCTCCCGGGGTGGAGCCCCGCCGGCCGTCCCGTGACTCCGCCTCCCGGGGGGAGCCCCGCCGGCCGTGACTCCGCCTCCCGGGGTGGAGCCCCGCCGGCCGTGACTCCGCCTCCCGGGGGGAGCGCCGCCGGCCGTGACTCCGCCTCCCGGGGGGAGGCCCCCGACTCTGGGGGGCGGGGGGAAGAGCCATGCGGGTTTACCTTGCACTAATCCCGCGAGCCCCGAGGCCGGGATCTACTGCTGCTGCGTTCACCAACGGTGCATTACACGGGTGCGGGGGGGGGGGGGGGGGGGGGGGTCGGCGCCCCGCACAGGCCCTGCGCGTGGGTGGAACCTTCGCCTCCCCTGCCCTCTGTGGCCCCGGGCCCCGCCCGCGCCCCGTGTCCACGTCTGTTACCTCACCGGCTGCCTTAAGGGGGGAGGGGGAGGGGGAGGGGGAGGGGGGGGGAGGGGGAGGGGGAGGGAGAGGCCAATACAGCATCTTCTTAAAAACCCGCGTCTGTGTCTTCCTTCCGTCCTTCCCGCCGGTCGGCCGCCGTCCGTCCCTTGGGGGAGGGGGTCCCTCCCCCGGGCCCCCAGACCCGGCCCGGCCCCCGAGGCCCCGCCGTTCCTGGGCAGTGCGATTCCCCCAAGAACCGTCAGGCCAGATGGACGGACAGACAGGCGGACTCGAGGGGGACGTGCACGGAGCTTTATGGAAGGACGTGTGTGAGGGGCGGGGCCGGGGAGGGGCGGGGCCTGCACCCGCGGGGGGACCCGCCGGCCGACCCGCCCCCCTCAGACGGGGGCCCGCGACGCCCTGGCGGCCAGGAAGCCCGTCTTGTGGGCCCCGAAGGCGGTGATGAAGATGTTGACCACCACCGTGATGAACACCAGGGTGGTGGCGGCGTTGTTGAGCTGGTTCAAGCGCCACTGGTTGCCGACCTCGTTCAGGTTCAGCCGGGCTGGGAGGAGATGGGGCCGGGGTCAGATGACGGGGGCGGGGTCAGAGATGACGGGGGGCGGGTCAGAGATGACGGGGGCGGGGTCAGAGATGACGGGGGCGGGGTCAGAGATGACGGGGGCGGGGTCAGAGATGACGGGGGCGGGGTCAGAGATGACGGGGGCGGGGTCAGAGATGACGGGGGCGGGGTCAGAGATGACGGGGGGGAGGGGGGCCGAGGTCAGATGGAGCCCTCGGTCTGGGGGCGCGGGGACCTTCCCCCAGCAGGGGGCGCCGGAGGCCGGGGCGCGGGGACCTCCCGGGCAGCAGGGGGCGCGGGGGGCGCGGGGGGCCTCCCGGGCAGCAGGGGGCGCGGGGGGCGCCGGGGCCTCCCGGGCAGCAGGGAGCGCCGGCGGGGGCGCGGGGGCCTCCCGGGCAGCAGGGGGCGCGGGGGGCGCGGGGGGGCGCGGGGGGAGCGCGGGGGGGGGGGGCGCGGGGGGGGGGCGCGGGGGGGGGGGCGCGGGGGGGGGGGGCGCGGGGGCCTCCCGGGCAGCAGGGGGCGCCGGCGGGGGCGCGGGGGCCTCCCGGGCAGCAGGGGGCGCGGGGGGGGGGGGCGCGGCGGGGGCGCGGGGGCCTCCCGGGCAGCAGGGGGCGCGGCGGGGGCGCGGGGGCCTCCCGGGCAGCAGGGGGCGCCGGCGGGGGCGCGGGGGCCTCCCGGGCGCGGGGCGCCGCTCACCGATGAGCGCCAGCAGGACGCCGAGGGCCAGCTGCAGCAGCAGGGAGGCGCCGAGGAGCGCCAGCAGCGCGGCGCAGTGGGCGGAGGCCGGGCCCTGCTCCAGCACGGCCTTGAGCCGCGCGGCGTTGGACAGGAGCAGCGCCGCGTCCAGCACGCCCTCCGCCACGCTCTTCTTGGTGGCGTAGTGGTTCAGATTGAGCGGCCGGCGGGGCGCGGGGCGCGGCTGCGCGGGCTGGAAAGAGGGGAGCGCGGGGCCGGGTCAGCGGGGAAACTGAGGCTGGAGGGGGGGGCCGGGTCAGCGGGGAAACTGAGGCTGGAGGGGGGGCCGGGTGAGCGGGGAAACTGAGGCTGGAGGGGGGGCCGGGTGAGCGGGGAAACTGAGGCTGGAGGGGGCGGGGCCGGGTGAGCGGGGAAACTGAGGCTGGAGGAGGGCGGGGCGGGGCGGGGCCGGGTGAGCGGGGAAACTGAGGCTGGAGGAGGGCGGGGCCGGGTGAGCGGGGAAGCTGAGGCTGGAGGAGGGGGGGCCGGGTGAGCGGGGAAACTGAGGCTGGAGGAGGGCGGGGCCGTGTGAGCGGGGGAAACTGAGGCTGGAGGAGGGCGGGGCGGGGCGGGGCCGGGTGAGCGGGGAAACTGAGGCTGGAGGAGGGCGGGGCCGGGTGAGCGGGGAAGCTGAGGCTGGAGGAGGGGGGGCCGGGTGAGCGGGGAAACTGAGGCTGGAGGAGGGGGGGGCCGGGTGAGCGGGGAAACTGAGGCTGGAGGAGGGGGGGGGCCGTGTGAGCGGGGAAGCTGAGGCTGGAGGAGGGGGGGGCCGGGTGAGCGGGGGAAACTGAGGCTGGAGGAGGGCGGGGCCGGGTGAGCGGGGAAACTGAGGCTGGAGGAGGGGGGGCCCCACCCGCGCGGAGGCTCTCGGGTCTGTCCCGTCTGCGGGTCTGTCCCGTCTGCGGGTCTGTCCCGTCTGTGGGTCTGTCGGTCCGTCCATCCACCTGCCTGCCTGCCCATCTGTCCGTCCGTCTGTCCATCTGTCTGCCCATCCATCCATCTGCCTGCCCGTCTGCCTGCCTGCCTGTCCGTCTGTCCGTCCATCTGTCTGCCTGTCCGTCCATCTGCCTGCCCATCTGTCTGTCCATCTGCCTGTCCGTCCGTCCGCCCCACGGCAGCTGTCCATCCCCTCCGAGCCAAGCTTTACAATATGCCTGTCCTCCCATCACCAATTATCTCCCTATTTTTTTGGACTAATGCACTGGGACGTTTTGAAAAGATGACAGAAAAATGCACATCGATAAATGGCGGGGCATCAGTGGCTCACACCTAAGCCTAGCTATTCAGGAGACAGATCCGAGGACCCAGGTTCAACGCCGGCCTCGGCAGGAAAGTCAGGGAGATTCCCATCTCCAGAAAAGCCAGAAGCGGAGCCGTGGCTCAGGTGGTAGAGCGCCAGCCTATGGCGCACAACACCTTTATGCAGTTGCAGGCCCTGGTGATCAAACTTCCTGTGGCCCCCACATCCGGGCAGGCCCAGACCCCGGCCCGGGAAGCGTGAGCGCGGGGCCCAGGAAGGAGCTGCACCCTTCCCAGGACAGAAGAACGGACACACTGGGGCCTGGGCCAACAACTTTTGTTCATAGCCCCCCAAAACCAGACTGGAGGCCAGAGCGCAAGGACCCTGGCTGTAGATAACAGAGGTGGAATCTCTCCCTCCCTCCCTTCCCCCCCCCCTCCCAGGGCAAACAAAGCAAGCCTGGGCTTGTCTGGGGCCTGCTGACCTAGTCAGCTGGGGCTAGCACCATACCAAGGCCCAATGGGCATGGTCCACCCAAGGCCACAACCTTGGTGACCATTTGTCTGGGGTTACTAGAGGGCAGGAACACAGTGGGATCCTGGCACAAGGGGATCCTCGCCTCCCTCCCTCCCCTCTTCCTCCTCCTTCCCAACCCAACTTCAAGTTCTGCTCTTTCCCTGAGAATTTGCATGTTAGTAGAAAAAAAAGTTATACCCAAACCTATTCAGGGTATGTGTTTGTGCTCTTCCTGGGGCTTGGGGCACTGATTTTTAGCTTTTTCACTCAAGGCTGGTGCTCTGCCACTTGAGCCACAACTCCATTTCTGGATGTTGAGTGGTTCATTGAAGATAAGAGTCTCACTTGGGTCTAGGAAGGTGCTCAGTGGTAGAGCGCTTGCCTTGCATGCGTGAGGCCCTGGGTTCGATGCCTCAGCACCACATAAGCAGAAAAGGCCAGAAGTGGCGTTGTGGCTCAAGTGGTAGAGCGCTAGCCTTGAGCTGAAGAGCTGAGGGACAGCACCCAGGCCCAGAGTTCAGGCCCCATGACTTTTCTGCCTGGGCTGACTTGGAACTGCAATTCTCAGATCTCAGCCGAGTAGCTAGGATGACAGATGTGAGCCACTGGCACCGGGCTCACTCCGGCTTTTTATTAAAGGTAGGTAGGTAGGTAGATAGTGGTGGTTCATTGGAGAGAAGAGACTCACAGACTCATCCGCCCCGGCTGGCTTCGAATCGCGATCCCCGACGCCTGAGCAGCTGGGAATCCCAGCCTCACCCACCGCCCTGACCTCATTGTGAGGTGACTTTCCGGGGGCTGCAGGCCACGGCACCCTCTCTTCTCCCGGTTCACTGTGGAATTCCCCTGAGCGGCCACGGGGTGGCGTGCAGAGACCAGAGAAGTGGCCGGGGCCCGGCCTGCAAGGGGGTGGGGGGTGTTCTCTCCCAACCCCGGGCTTGGATGAGATGGGGTGGGTGTGAAGTTAGGAAGGCCCCAGGGGACCCCGCAGAGGCCCTGCAGCCAGACCCCCAAAGAGCCAAGGAACACTTGGACCAGCACCAGTACAGGGAAGGGCGTGGTGGTGCTGGCCTGTAGGCTCTGTCTCAAGAAAAAGGCCGGAGTACAGAGGTGGGGGGGGGGGGAGGAGGAGCTGGGGGGTGGGGTGAGAGCAGAGAGTGGGGAGGGGAGGGGAGGGGAGGGGAGGGGAGGGGAAGGGAGGGGAGGGAAGGGGAAGGAGCTGGGGAGGGGAGGGGAGGGGAAGGAGCTGGGGAGGGGAGGGGAGGGGAAGAAGCTGGGGAGGGGAGGGGAGGGGAAGAAGCTGGGGTGGGGAGGGGAGGGGAGGGGAAGAAGCTGGGGAGGGGAGGAGCTGGGGGGGGACCCCGTGTGACTCACAGTGTGGGTTGCATGGTTGGGAGCAGAGGGGGAGGTGGTAGGGTCCGGATCAGGCCCTGTCACTCACGGGGGGGGGGGGGGGGTGCCCCTCCCAGGGGCGCTGGCCCTTTAAGGCCGGGCCAGGCGGGTCAGAGCAAAGGCTTGGAATGTGGGCTGGCCCAGAAGCCCAGTGAGTCAGTGCTGCTGACCCCACCCCACCCCACCCCACACTGCCCAGTGCGGCCAGGCACCCCCAAGCTGTCCGTCCTCCCCCAGGCCCCGCTCTGCCTCCACAGCCACTCTCCCATGTGTGTATATATATATAACATGTATGTAATACACTTACATACATGTACACATCTTGGCCAGTCCTGGGTCTTGAACTCTGGGCCTGGGCGCTGTCCCTCAGCTCTTCAGCTCAAGGCTGGCGCTCTACCCCTTGAGCCACAGCGCCACTTCCGCCTTTTTCTGTGTCTGTGGTGCTGAGGAATGGAACCCAGGGCTTCACTCTGCCCAGGCCTCCGGGCGCCGCTGACCTTGGCTGGGCCACCCCTGTCCACCACAGACACGGCTGGGGTGGTGGGAGTCGGGTCCACCCGGCACCCCGTGGACGAGCCGAGAGGCCCCACAATGAGCTCAGGCATCAGAACCCCATGTGCCCTGAGCTCAGCGTCGAGCAGGGCTGGCTCACACCCAGGAGCCCCCCACCTGCCCACTGTGGAGGCCTGGAGCTGGGTCCGGGGATGAGGTCAACCCAGGAAGCCCCCACCGGGGTGGTCAGAGCCAACTTTTCAGAGATAAGAGTCTCATGGACTTCCCTGCCTGGGCCGGCTTTGAACCATGATCCTCAGATCTCAGCCTCCTGCGCAGCTGGGATGATGGGCGGGAGCCACCACAGGCTCCCGGGGCCAGAATTTGATTTAAAATGAAGAAAGGCTCTTCGAGGGTGGGGGCCTCTCGCCGAGGGTACCCCGAGCCCTGTGGCGGCCTCCTCCGGATGGACGCCGCTGGGGCTGGAGGCGGCCACTGACCTCAGGCCAAGGCCCGCCCCCGCTGATCCCAGATCCCTGATCCCCCGGGGCCTGAAGAGCAACCTCACCCTTCAGAGCCAGCCGCCTAATCCACACAAGGGCTGGTCCAGGGCTGCCAGTCCGGTTCTAATCCCCGACTGGCCTAGAAAGCTCCACGGGCCCTGGGTGCAGCGGGCCCTGGCTGGAGCAGCCCGGCCCTGAGCGCCGAGGCCTCGGGGAGGCTGCCGTGCCACGCATGGCCACCGGGGGGCGCGCGGTAAGCAGCTGGGAGGCCCTGGCCGGCTCAGCCAGCCAGGGCCTGGGAGAGGTGTCCTCTGACCCCTGTGCGGACACAGGGAGGAGTTGGGGGGGGGGGGGCCGGTTCCTTCTAGAAAGTCAGGGAGAGGGTTCAAAACCAGCCAGGGATGCACAGCACAAATGCCATAGATGGTGGTAATGGGGAGGGGGCTCAGATCCGTGAGAGAAAGAAAAGGAGAGGGAGAAAGAAAAGGAGAGGGAGAAAGAAAAGGAGAGGGAAGGAGGGAAAAATACTTGCAGAGAAAGAGCATGGTGCTGTTAACTCACCCTTGTAGACCTAACTCCAAAAGAAATCAACAATCCAATTGACAAATGGGCAAGCCGGCGTCGGTGGCTCAGACCTGTCATCCCAGCTACTTAGGAGGACGAGATCAGAGGACCCCGGTTCAACGCCAACCCAGCCAGGAAAGTCCGTGAGACTCATCTCCAATGAACTACTTTAAAAAAAAGCCAGAAGTGCAGGGCGCTGGTGGCTCACGCCTGTCATCCTAGCTACTCAGGAGGCTGAGATCTGAGGATCGCGGTTCAAAGCCAGCCCGGGCAGGAGAGACCGTGAGACTCCTATCTCCAATAAATCACCAGAAAACCGGAAGTGGCGCTGTAGCTCAAGTGGTAGAGCGCTCGCCTTGAGCTGAAGAGCTGAGGGACAACGCCCAGGCCCAGAGTTCAAGCCCCACAACCGACAAAAAAAAAAAGCCAGAAGTAGAGCTGTGGCTCAGCGTGGTAGAGCGCTAACCTAGAGCAGAAAGCTCAGGGACAGTGGCCCAGGCCCTGAGTTCAAGCCCCACTAACCACAGATAAAGAGCCGTAATAAATGGACAAATGAACAGATAATTCTGTACAGATGGCCAGGAAAATGCAGGTTGCAGGGAAAGGAGAGGGGGGTGTTGTACAATCCGTGCTCCTGTGGATATCCAAGCAAACCCCTCAGTGCAGTTAACACACACTCACTTAAAAAGACAACACCTGGGAACAGATCAGCCTAGGTTGGGAAAAGACCAAATATTCCCACAGGGAAGACACAGCCAGCCGGACTAGACAGAGTTATCAAGGCAGGACAGGCGGGCAGGCAGGCCCAGCCCTACTGAGGACAATACTCCTACTGGCCGATGGAGCCTGGAACAATGTCATTCAGTCAGGCTTAGGAGAAGCCTGTAATCCCGGCTCCTCAGGAGGTAGAGGTTGGGAGGACCCATCTCCACCTTCCAGCCAGGAGATGGTGGTACCTGCCTGAGATCCAGCTAGAGGACAGCAGTCCGAGGCTTTTAGTCCAGGATCGATGACAGTTAAGGGAGTTTGAGAAGAACAGTATGGGGTCGGGGGACCCGAAGTCCTCTGATGAGTCCATTTATTCTCCAGAGACAGGCAGGCCCCCACCGTGGGGGTTCACGTAGCTCAGGTTCCCATGGCCTCTGGGCAGGACCTGTCTTCCCTGGCCACCAGCGCCTCTGTGAAAACAGCACAGACAAGGACACAGCCCGGCCTGGCCCAGCCGCAGCGGCTCCCGTGCTGAGCTCAAACAAGCGTAGGCTGGAGGTCCTGACCTGTGCCATTCGGCACACAGCCCGCCCCCAGTGCCACCCACAGAGGCTGGCAGGGCCACCAGCGTCATCCCGCACGCCTGGTCTCCTGGGAAGATTTGGGGCACAGCGGCGCTGGGGGCTCATGCCAGTCACCCCGGCTACCCGGGAGAGCAGAGAGGCTCACCACTCAGAGCCAACCTGGGCATGAAGAGCCGAAGACTTCATTTCCAAGAAGCCAGAGTGGCGCTGTGGCTCAAGTGATGGAAAGCTATCCTTGAGCAAAAGCAGCTGGGGGGGGCCCCTAAGTTCAAGCCCCAGGACCGGCACAAAATTTTAAAAAGTGATCCCACTGGCTGTGTTAAAGCTTAGGAGTCTTGACCTCCAGGAGCCCACAGGTCTGATCCCTTACAGGGAGGGGTGACAGTACAAATGGTCCAGGGATAGAATGTTCTAGAACAAGTGGGATTACTCTGGTCCTAGGGATAAGGGCAGTTGACAGATCCATCATCAGGGAACCCACACTCATTGGAGATGGCTCCAATAGGAAAGACCAACAGGCCCACCTGGAGGGCCACAAGATGGGTGGAGTTACTCCCATCAGGAGCGAGACTCCCAGCGGCCATGGGCAAACTCCTGGACTTCCCCCTTCACCCTCCCACCTGCCAGGCTGGGCCGGAATGAAAGGCCTGTCCTCCTACACGCAGCCTCCCGTGTGACCCAACCCTTCCAGGTCATCAGGCAGGAAGCCGGAGTCCCCCAACCCCAGCAAGACTGGCTTGTGGCCAGAGGACATCAGGAAACCCTGGAGGACAATGACCATTAGGGTTTTGACCGAAAACACATGCCCACCCCCTCCGGGGCACATGGATTACAGGCTTCATGGCCAGTGTGGCAGTATGGTTGACAGGTGCTGGAACCTCTGGTGGGCGGGGCCTAAGGGAAGGAAGTTAGGTCATTGGCGGTGTGATCTTGAAGGGGAGTTTGGGGACCCTGGCTCCTTGCTCTTTTTTTGCTTCCTGGACACAAGGTGAGCGAGTCGTCCTCCATCAACGTTCCTTTGTCACCATAGGCCCAAAGCCACAGCGCCAAATCCACGAGCCAGAACCAACCTTTCCTGTCGGCTGACTCACGCAATTACTTGGATGCCAGAGCTGGGCGAGCCAGTGGCTCACGCCCATCATCCCAGACTCCAGAGGCTGAGATCTGAGGATGGCGGTTCGAAGCCAGCCCCGGAAAGCAAAGTCTTTGGGACTCTCATCTCCAATGGACTACCAGAAAACCAGAAGTGGCGCTGTGGCTCAAGTGGTAGAGCGCCAGCCTTAAAGAGCTCAGGGACAGTGCCCAGGCCCAGAGTTCAAGTCCCATGACCACCACCAACAACAAAAAACATCTTCGTGGGTCTGTCCTGATCCCTGAAGCCTAGCTCCCCGCTGAGGGACTCATGCCTCCCGGTCCCCCACTGCATGGGTGTCCTGGCTATTTGCTCACCTTCCTTCCCAGGCTTGTAATTATGGGGTGCGTGAGAAACTCCCAAGGGATCAGGGACCCCCCAAACAGGCCTGTGTTCTTCCCACGGTCTCACACGGCTCAGCAGGTTTGGGGGGGTGCCCTCTCCCCTCCCCTGTCATTTGGGGGGGGGACCCTCTCTCCTCCCCTCTCCTGCCCTGTCAGCATTCTCTGTACTTTCCTTCTTAGGAAGTTTCCACTTCCTGAGGTCAATCAGTAACTTCCTCTGGGAAGTGAGGTTGGGGTGGCGGGAAGGGGGGGTTGGGGGTCCTTCACTACAAAGCTACTTACTCTCCAGAGGCTGGGGTCACCCCCAAAAGCTGGAGTCCTCAGGCTTCACAGCATACAAGGTCACACCCAGCCTCCGTACAGAGACTCAGGCCCCAGGCCTGCCCGGCTCAACGTGGCTGGCACACAATCTACACGGTGAAATGCCAGAAGGATCTACTTTACGGAGAGGTGAGAATTAAATGTGCCACTGGCTCTCAAGTCACAAGTGCTGGAGAAGTTGGTTGTTTTCTGAGAAAAAAAAAAATTCATTTTTTGGTCCACTAGGATCCTGTAATCAACCTGTGGGTGTGGGTCTGGGTCATTTGCATGTGATTTGCATGTGCCCGCCCTCTTTCTCCGTGTGCACACACAGGGCCTGGTTGGGGACCATCTGCCTCTTTCTGTCGGGCTCCCCAGGCTCTGTTGTGGGGGCCGCCCATGGCTCACAGCCCCGTGGGAAGTGGCCGGCAAGGTGCGGGGCTGGTGTGGAGACGGGTTTGTGCCGTCCTGGGTCCCCCGTGGGCTTTCGGGGACTATGGACCTGGGAAGCTGGGGAGGGATGAGCAGTCAGGTGTACCCCGTCTCCTCTCCATTTCTCAGTGGAGGGTGTGCGGTGCGGGAGAATTGAGGCTCTCAGAGGCTTTGGAGAGCGATCTGGGCTGCAGAGACACAGACAGACCGACAGACAGACCTTTGGGCTCCCAAGAGGAGCAAGAAAGCAAATGCACTTGATCTCAGGAGTCCTTGAGGCCGGGACCAGGGGCACAGCAGCCACGCTGGCCAACCTCCCCGCGTCCCCGGCCCCCGCCTGGACCCCAGGCCGAGCTGCCGGCGTCTGGAAAGGCGGCTCCGAACCTGACGAGCAACCCTGCCAAGATGGCTCAGGGCTGAAGACCCAAGGCAAAGGCCATCCCTGCAGTCACGGGCATGCACGCCGGCTGGTGGCGGCCGGGAGCCGGGCGGGAGCCGGGACTTGGCAGGGCCTGGGCCGCGTTGCTGGGGGCTGTGTTTGGCGTG